GCGTCGTCCGTGCATAGTTACGTCATTTAAAATTATATATATATATATATATATATATATATATATATATATATATATATATATATACATATAGATATATATAAAGCAACTACTGAACATATAAACCACTGCAGTTTCTCTTTCTTGCTGAGTTAGATGCACAGTCGCTGGTACCAATGAAAAACTGAACGGTTTCCTGTCAAACCCACAATTTGTTGAACGTCGTTGTCATCTATAACGACCAGCCAGAAAAGAACGTTCACCCATGTTTCGCACAGCAAGAACCTCATATAGGCACAACTAATACTCAGGAAGAGCTATTGCTGCTGTCGAAAGAAAGCACAATATATTTACATAGCGCTAGAAGATTTGACGATATTTTGGGTTAAGCTGTTTTTATTTGGTAGTTGGTGTTTTGTTTTTGCCTGCTAAGAGTGATAACTGTTGACGAAGGAGAAGTCCTTCGAGCCACGTGACAATGTTTTGGGTGACTGTTCACTGACTTGTACCACAGTAGCAGACTGTTAGAAAAACGGAGAATAGCTACCGTTTGCTCCGCTAATCTGCTTAGAAGTCTGTAAGAGCGCCACGGTGGCGGGATGAAGGACTGCCCAGGGTGGCCGACTTTACTGCCATAGTGCCACAGAAAGGGTTCCTCGAAACAAATCAGCCCGTCCAGGCGGTTATAGTAGCTATCAAGTTTTCAATGTGTAAAGCGCATGACACCAACAAAGTGTAGGCTAGTGAAATGTGTTATTGGTACCAAAAAAACAGTTCGAAATTCATTATAATAGGCATGAATCGACAAGAGGCTGGTGACTAATTAAATTATAAAAAAAAAAAAAAAGCAAAAAAACGTAAAATTAATACGACTACTGCAGCAGACATGTGCACGGAGATTAGTCATTAGACTGATAGTACCTATTTAAATTGAATACGTAAAAGGAAGAAGATTTACTTAATTATACCCTAATTGATGACTGGACATTGAAGCTTTTATTCTATGGCAATTCATTGTAACACGCTGTTAAATTTGGATGTGACGGCCTTACGAATTTTCAATTTATCCTCATGATTTGTCGATATTTAGCCTTCTTTTTTCTTCAATTTGATGAACAAAAATATTTCTTTCTATATCGACACCAAAGCATGAATAGATCTAATATCATATTATGCTTCGCTTCACATCATTGCATAACTGTTAGCTTGCAGGGTTCTTGAATTGTTTTCGAGCCTCAAATCTTACCTTTAAATAGCATATTTTTTAGTACTTCTGTGGAAAAAGCACTACACCGAAATAGTACAGGATCATTGTACCTTATCTAATCTAAATTTAGCTTCACCACTATTGCAATGTTATGTATTACAAATATTTTGACTTTTGTCTGTTATTACATCTTGCGCCCAATAGATAGCTAGATGCCAAACGGTAGTAGGTAACTATTATATATTAACAATAGTGCACACGGATAATGCCCTGTTAGTAAGTCCCAGCTTTCGAGTTGAAGACAACGGAATTGTAGAAGTTCTAGGGTTTATTCAAAAAACGAAGAGGAATTAGTAGCCTCGAAAGCGAGCATTCGCTCATAAACGGGCCCCAAACTAATTAAGAATACTCCACTCTTGTCTAAAGCTGTTGGATATAGTTCCTTTGTACAGTGCCATTAGGTTCTATACCGTGTTATATAATACGTAGCGTATCCACGAGCAAGCCAAGTATGGTAGCTCGTTATCTAACGTTTCAGTGAAATGTGTAAATAGATAAAGATTTTAGCGTCAGCTATACATAATGCCGAAATCGAATGGGCCTTTAAAGCTATAAACACTTAATACTTAACTTCGTGCGAAAAAAGACACCAAGTATTTCGTGACAAAGTCTCACGCTAGACAATTGTACATCAAGATAATGTACCAAGGAGTCTTAATGGACAGTCATGAATGTAGGGGATGCATCTCTAAAAACATCGTAGCAGCCTCGTTCTCCAACGAGGCGAACTAGTTAGTTGATACCTACAATTGCTGCAAGACTTTTTTTTCTCAGGCCATTTCTTAGCAGTGTGTAGAGAATGTGACTCTCTGCTACATGTACGGCAAATCGCCTGCAACGCCCTGCTATTGAATGCTTGTGCTCGTCTAAAGGCGCACACGATTCGAAGCTACAGCCAACCAAATTCACTCTGTTTAGAAAGCGAGATCAATTATTTTTCATTATTTTAGTATGAACGATATACATCTCCCTATACTATACTAACATTGTTGTATATATATATATATATATATATATATATATATATGTATTTGATTATATTAACAACCAGACCATGTTCGGATTTCGTCGATGCGAATGACTTCATGCATATTATTCTCAACGAGGCAATTGATAACAAAACTCTCGGCATGCGAGGCGCAGAGGCTTCGCTTGCTGGTTCTATAGGTTTGTATTATACGAACTACAGCGGACGGATATAATACAAAAGTGAGAAGATAACGAAAGTTTTGAACTTATTCAACTGCATGTTAAAATAGCGCTAATAGAAAAAGGCTACAGCTAATCAAAAAAGTATAAAGAATAGAGAAAATACTAATAAGTAGAAGCAGCTAGATGGACACCAGTGTCGGTTTATTTGGTCCGGCTTTTCCCTTTCGCGCGTTACGTTCGAAAATTCGCAGCTAAGTCGTTGCTTGTGTGGGATACGCGCAGGTAATTAAACAATATTATTATGCATACTAATAGAGATAATTTTATTATTTCCGCTCAGGCCTGAAGAAGTTCGCTTACTCGTAAGAGTCACGTAACTGAAAAAGTCGAGGAAGCAGCGAAGCATTAATTCATCTTATTCAGACACTTTTAGCGATTCGTATTTTTCGAATAAAAGTTCAATCGTTGTAGAACTGTGGAATCACATACGTTGTCCAGAATTAAGAGGGATCAATCAATACAAGAGCGATTTTAGCTGCAACGAGAACATTTCAAGAGAATGCCCTTCGCGGGCTCCTGCATTTATGTCTCAACAAAACCAACCCATGCTGTCTTTAAACAAATAACCGTCAAAAAAATGCTTTTATATTTGTCAATGTCTCGCCACGGAAGCACAAGGTTTCTACACGGAAGCACTAGTCATTACTCAAGATGGCCAGGCCGTAGGTGTGGAAGCTGCCATTCCAGTTACTGTCCGACATCGCAGGAAAGGCGAGAAAACGCGTTCGTTTGGTTGAGATTTCCTTTGACGAATTATAGATACAGATTCATGCTGACGTATCGAAACCGCAAGCAGAAGAGTTTTAGTACATTTTGTTCGAAAATGTGAGCCATGAAAACATTCACTTTTTCCCAGCTAGTTCTTCGTACATACTAATTGTATATGAAGCACCTACAGCAATCACCTGCGTGATGAACATGGAGGAAGCGGAAATGACATCCAAACCCAAAGGACCTTGTAACAAGCTGATATCAATAAACGTCAGTGAATTAGCAGCGATTTCAAAACTTCCTTACAATATCTTAAAGGTTGGCTAATATGTACAACGCTCATGTACTACTCTTGCTTTCCCAACAATAAATAATTGTCAGCCTTTACATGGACTCTAATTAGCTTCTAGGGCCAGGAGTCGACGGCGCCTAGCGTAATCACAAAGGCTCAAGGCTGAAACTACCAAGCTACCTTCCTAATAGAATACAGTCCCCAAAATGTGTGTTCGGAAGCCAAACAATGCCATTAGTTGTTTGGCAGGAATTGCGGGCTGCTCGATCTATATGGTGTGCAATTCGTTTCGAGCTATAATGATAGTTCCCCATATTCAAATATCATAACTGCAACGCATTGTGCAAATACCGTGTTTATAAGAGGCGGAAAGAAGGGAATGGGCTTGGGTCGTTGCGAATAAGCACAGAAAAACATGGGCTGCGGAAGTCTGCAAAACACACTTAGCAATGCGCTAGGATAGTGTCATTGATATTTTAGGACAGAGATCAATTGTAAGAGATGAAGAGATTATACTTTACTAAGATTTAGGATCAGTTTCCTATGTACGTACGGTACCAATTCAATTTAGTTGCTGCTATGCGGATCTAGAACAGTGCTGCGGAAGAGATAGTTAACAAAAAAGAAAGGTTTGCAGGTTAGCCTATAACAGGTTCCGTGATATCTCTATGTATATGCAAGACTAGCGGAAACGACGGCGACGTTTACTCTGTCCCAGTGAGCTATTTGTCACGCAAAATATTTGTCGATAAAGAAACAAGGACGTCGACGACTGTGGACGTCTCCCTGGTCCTTCGCGAGTGCTACAAAGCAAAGTTGAGAGGAAAAAGGCCAGGACAAGCAAGTAGTCGTCAGTTGCCCCCTCCTTCCTTACTCACCTTTTTCGGATTGTTGCTGATTGCCGCTACTGCCACGGCACTACCATGTTGCGTCGCTCGACGTCGTGAAGTCATACACACCGGAAGTTTGTAGAACTCGCCCTGCCGTATGAGTACCGATCGTTGCTAGAGTTCTAAGGTGTTTTCTTGTCTGGAGGAAGCACCTCAGGGCGTTCGATTGTACACAACCAGAGGTGCCACCTTTGGTTGTGTGCAATGGTACCGATAGGATATACAGGGAGAGTCAGGCAGTCCCTCGGCGAACCATTAATCGAAACCTCAGCAATACTACCATCACTGTTACCGTTGGCTACTATTTGTCAGACAACTAGAGAGTGTGAAGGTCAGCGCATTGATGAGTACGATGATCCGTCGACGCATCACAACAGGTTAAGGGAAACTGCAGAGCCGCAGCAGCAAGAAGTTTAGAGAAACTGCAGAAGCAAGTAGAAAATTAAGAGGCCGTACCCACGAGATAGGTTGGAAGCTACGAAGGTTGGCGGACAAATAAACAAGCCATCGAATAAACAACTAAAAAACGAAGCGGCACAGTAACGACGCTTGTACGGGATTAGCCACAACTACAGAAACTCTTTCCATAATAAACGTAACGAGCTATGTGGCAACAACAATATCAGCGCCATCATCAAAGAGGGATTCATATCATAAGACATGTTTCTCATAGCGATTATACATGAGCATGACTTCATTTACTTAACAAGCGCAACGTGCACAAAGGTATGTGACCAAAGGTTAGGAACTGTTGTTAGTGGAATGAAGTGACCAGTACGTAGGCGTGTGCATACAATGTATTACGTTGAAGCCACGGAGTGATCTAGTACGAATATTATGATGTGTGGACGAGCAAAATCTAACGGTCCGATAGGCTCAGATTTCGATCTCGAATATCGCCTGATCCTCTGTAATTAACTCATTGTCACATGGACGCGTTAGATTCTCTAGACCACGTAAACTTAACATGACAGCTTAGCTAAAGTGCATGAACTTCTGTGTGTTCAATAAAAAAGTAAGGCAAAGTGCACCTTCATCATTGTTGTAGAACCTATTTTTATACTGGTGACGTTTTGCAAATAACTTCAAATTTATCTACTCTCCTTTGTGCGTATGGGTCCTACTTTATGATAAATTGAATATTTCGTGCCCATC